TACTAGGCGAAACAAAACAACAATTGCTGAACGACAACTTTTATGTTAACCATGCAACCTGGTTCAACAACAGGAAACTCGTTCCAGAAATCATGGGAATTGCTCAAGGATCTTATAAGAAAAAGGGCGGATATAATGAAGGTATTCGAGGCAAAGGATATATTGTTAATGCCCTAGAAGCTGCCTTATGGGCGTTTTGGTGCGATGAAGACTCCTTTAAAACAGGGGCTCTCAATGCAGTCAATCTTGGAGATGATACTGACACAACTGCTGCTATTTATGGCCAATTAGCCGGTGCCTACTACGGATACAAAAATCTACCCAAGAAATGGGTCAAACACGTTTATGCTCACAATTTTATTGCATGTTTAAGCAAATGGATTGTTTATGAAGGACAACTGTGGCAGCCAAAGTATCATGTTCCAAGTGCTCCACAATCGAATTCTAAATCTAATTCTAATGTCTCAATGACTGCTCAGTCTACAACGACATGGAATGTCGTACCAAACACGAAACAAGAAAATATGCAGAAATCTACTTCTTCTCGCAACCAGTTACCTTCTAATGCATCATGGTTACCGTCAAATACGGCATATTCCTCAGAAGAACATGACCTTTATGGAAGGACTGTGACAGCTCAGTCAAATGCGAGTTTGAGATCGACCGCAACAACAGCACAGTTTGGCTATAATGACACAATAGGACCTAGCTATTATGATGCAGGAAGATCAGGATATACCTATGATAGGTCGACTCACAAGACAAAAAAATGATTCTCACAATAGGTTGCGTATATCCGACCTATAAACCACAGAACTGATCTCAGTTAATTCTAGCTGACGTAACTTAGCATTATGGCTCTGCATCACGAACTGACTGGAACTTGATGTTTATTTGACGACACTTTTCTTTTAAGGTTTCATTTCCATAATTTGATGTACCCCTAGTTATCCGAAATAAGCACAGTCAAGTGAAACACACAAGTTCTCTGTTTTCGAATATTTGAGAAAATAAGATTGTGCCGAATTTCCATTCAAATCATTATTTTTTTGTTACCAATTCTTATTTTTAGTCCAACCTCATCTTCAATAGTGATTTTCTAGATATTGTCTGACATGTACCCCCATATAGCTACGATGATGAATAAGATTAACACTTGAAACATCAACTAATTTTCATTCTGGTTAGTTAATATGTTGCTAGATATAAAAGGTGTGGGTACTGAGAGAGCTCACACTCTCACTCGCACCCATCTGCCTATACCTCAAAACGCAGATATCATAGGAGAACAATTGATTTAATGAAATTGTCGTAAGGACAATCATTTATGCTCATTAATCAATTAGGAGTTGAATCCATTCGGTATAGAAATTCAAAGAAGAAATGTTGGAATTTCTGTTAATAGTTGTCGAGTACCGCCTTCATGTATATTGATCTAGGCATCCTTGTAAATGCTTGCTGGCGCTAACGAATTTAATATGGCAGCAACGACGCTCAACTGAACGAGGATTTTTTTTTAACCAGATCTCTTGAAAACTAGTTTTTGTTCTTCAATAGTAACATACCCTGTCTAGTAATGTGACATCAAGTATTCGAAGTCTGATCAATGCACAACTTTTTTGTCTGAATCTGATAGCCTTTGATTCAGTTCTGCGCAACATCAATGGCTAAATGCTATCAAACTAAAAAGAATTGTTCACTCGAGATTCGATGCCGGTAATGACAGTCAGACTGGTCCAGTCGGGCGACCATATGATACGTTTTTATTTATATGATGACGTACTTCCAATACAATATTTTTATAGCTGAATGCGTTTTGAAAAATGTACTTGAACGCGTGTGACTGGAATTTTCTTCTATTGCAAATGTCTGAATTTGTTTCGATATTATTTCCATCAACTACATCCGAAGGCATTTCGAAGATAGCTAATCATAATGAGTATGGGAGACGTTTCAGACGAGACCTGACCGATATTGTAGATTAGTCATGTCGGCCATCTTCACTTATTCTTTCCTTACTTGAACTATTGCTCTAGTTGTTTGACTTTTCTTCTTTCCTGATACTTGATTATTCAACACTATTGCTGGTCTTAAATCAATATTATCATTTATGTGTTATATATATGTTGTGGTCAAAATTTAAAATTCAGTCAAATTTAAAATTTGTCCAGTCAAAATTGATATTTTAATTTCGTCTAGGCAAAATTGAAATTTCTTTTTTGATGAACAGAAAAAGGTAAAGAAAGATGAAAAGTTAAAGTCGCAACAAATTTTTTTTCACAAAATTTATTAGCAAATATCACATGCGGATGTGGGTGCAATAGAGACCTCGCTCTCATTCACATTCATGCTCAAAACTAAACAGCAACACACCAGACGCACCCCGCACCCATATCTACAGCTACACCCACACCCACACCCATTCACACTCAGACTCTTCAGACTGGGAGTGTAGCAAATCTTAAATTCTGGGGTTTGATATTATTTGGTTTGGCTCTAAAACAAGATTTGAATTCTGTTTGAGTATAAATTTAGATTTGGCTTCCAATGACTGACATCTCAAAGGATTTGATAACATAAGGTAACACAACAATAATCTACTTCACTAAAGAAGCAGCACAACAAGAAAAAGAGTTTGTAATTTGGCACGAAATTCTTAGTATTTGGATTTTGTATTGGACAAAAATAATATAAATAGTTTGCCTTTTGATACCAGTCGCCAAATTATAGATTATTTATATGAACTCGGTCGAAAAGCAAATCCATGCTTCAAATCTAAATCTAAGATCCAAACCAAATTCCAAGGCCATCCATCATAAATCTCAAATCTATTTTAGATTTGTTGCACTCTTACTCCAGACTCAAATCCATATTCTTTGTTAACAAGATTTTACCTTTTTCTGTTCATCAAAACAGAAATTTCAATTTTGACCAGGCAAATTTTAAATTTGATTCAATTTTAATTTTGACCACAACATATATAAGAACTTGATTTCAATAATAATAGTTGAATTCTGACGGTAGAAAGGATCACTTATATATCACATCGCTGTATCATTACGCCTACGTGGCAAAGTTTCATATGTCAAACTCGAAAATTGAATTCCATGCAAGGATCAAATTACAAGTTTCAAATTCCAAATTTCGATTTTCAATTCTCAAATAAATACAGCCACTCTCTCAATGTGAGTTCCACAGAAACAAAGACAATTGAAGTTTGAAACCTGAAACTTGGAACTTGTAATTTGACCCTTGCATGGAATTCAACTTTCAAGTTTAATACTACTATAGCAAACAGCGTATTTTGTATTCAATGGCTGAGCGAAGTAATTTATCTGACTACTGCCGAGTCTTACTTCTTCCTTCTTGCACACAAAAAAAAAGTTATTATAGCAAAAAACTAACAAATTAGATGCATATTCGAAATAAGAACATCGATCACGATACTACTAATTTTCCACCGACATTTAGCACAGATAATTATTCTCATTGCTCAATATCTTTTCTCTTCAAAGATTGTTTGAATCGTTTCCGAAGAAATTCTTCATTCATTTTTTTTTATTAAGCTAAAATGATTATGGATCACATTGACAAGCAAATAGTAATGTTGTGACGACTCGATTATCTTTTGGATTGTATATAGACCATACACCACAAGCTAAAGGAAAGCAATATTCACAACAATGAAATGAAAATAAAGATGTTTCTTCACGTGGACATCAGCTGTTTTGACTTCGTCGTAGTTGATTCTGTTTGATTTCTAATTGGATTCTCACGCAAATCTTACTTGTAAAAATAGTGGGTATAGCATCCTCAACAAGGACACCATGTGGTTTCATCCAAATACCAGCAACAAAATAATTCAGATTCTCAAAAAATCACTTGATTTCCAACAATACGTATTTCAATATTACGAAGAACGCGGGTAACAGTAAAAAGTTAAATCAGTTCTGGCTCTTTAGATTGTCCTTAAAAACCCATTCGCGACAAACAAAAACAGTTAGAACAAATCGATAAACAGAACAATAAAGGATTTTCACTATTCGAAGTCATGAAAACTGAACTTGTTCTTTTTTCTTTGTCCCTCTCTGTAGATATGTGCAATCGATTCCTCAAGAGAAGTGGCATTTCGCTGGTCAACTACATCGTAACCATTATTTTCGTGTATTCATAATTATTCTTTGGAAATTTCTTAATAAGAATATTTCCTTTCGACTATGTTCTTATTTTACTTTTTTTTTAGGTCTGTTGAGAAACGATTTGGTCTCAAAGAAGTTTTCAAAATTGAAACTGGTGCGAATTTATCTAGTCTTCCTATTTGCTTGTCATACTAGTCATCAAAAATTTATTCTTTAGACTTACATGCAATGTTTTGCATCTCAGTACTCTTTAAGATGCTTGTTTGAAGAGGACTTGCATCTTCATGTTGAACAGAGTTGAAATTGATCATTGATTCTTGGAACAATGTCACGTTTTAGTACAGGAAAAATGAAAAAGAAATTATAAAATGAGTCGTTGACTTGGACTACTAGTGTTTTGGCTTTGGCATATACATGTGATGTATGATCTTTTCAGACTCGATATAGAAGATCAAAGCCGAAATTTGTTTTCAGTAGAATTCGAAGAATCCTTTCATAAAATCTCTCTTATTCAATGTTCTTCTCCAACACATCCATATCGATGGAATTTATTTTCTTTGAATTCTACAAATTAGTCGAAAATGTAGAACATTCGAAGCTACTTGAAGAAATTTTCGAAACAACTCGAAAGTGCATGATGACGGTTTATAACTTGATGAAAAACTTATCCGTCTTTAGTTCAGCCGACCTTGCTCAACTCATCGTGCATACTAACCAATCCGCATCCATTATAGACACATTCGTTTTTTTTGTTTACATGTGAAAAGACTTGTACCAGTAGACTCATTAACGAGACACTTGCATCTATCATTTTTTTTCTGTTTTCTTTTTCTATTTATTAGTCAATATTTTACTTTCTTTTCACAGTGTACAATCTCTTGATTCAAACTTGCTTTTCTGTGGAAACATTTCTTTTAAAAAATGTCGAAATTCTTGATGAATTCTACCCTGATTTGTATAATTTGCACGTGTACGATCGTTAATACTTAGAAATTTTGGCATCTGTGATCGTTGACGAAGTTCATTAAAAAATAGCCTCGCTTTTTTGAAACTATTCGTAAGTACTTGATTACAAAAATCTATTCCATCAGGTGGACAAGCACTTTTCATTCGTCGTTGTTCGACACACACATTCGCTTGTTCAATCATATATCGTGAAATGAAATAGGTGGGATGAACGTCATTCATGTCACGAAATCTGTGTGATGATTGTTCGCGATGAACTTCGGCGAATTTCGAGAACCAAACCTTTTCAGCAATTGATTTTCTAAGTGGATGTGGAGCATGCGGAAGGAAGTGTCGATCACTTCTATTTACATTTGTATTTGCATTGGACGACAAATTGTCGAGTAAAAAATTTGTATTCAACATTGCTTTTTTATGAATATTTAATGTTAAATTGGTGTTCGATGTTAAACGATCATCACCGTAAATAACCGGGCATCTTCCATGAAGGAAAAAATCTTCAATCGAAACTGGACGTCCGAATATGTAATCATCGTTAAAATAAAGATAAAATTCTTTTAAATGTGGAATTTTATGAAGATTGGCTTCGATAGCATGAGAATTAAATGTTGGAAGGTACTTATGATCTATGATTTTTTGAGTTGAGATTACTCGGAGTTGTGATTGTGATTTTGAAATATTTAACCAATTAGGTATTTGATCAGCTACAACATAGATATGACCACGAAACGAAGGCATATATTTTTCAATACTTCTTAATGAAAAACATAATTCATTGTTGTCTTTCGATAGACTTGATGCAGTGCTATGACGTTCTTGCACACGATCGCTGCCCAAAACTGGTCCGTTGATGGAAAACCAGTAGTCTTTCAATCGAGTATATTCTTCATTACTACCATTGACATAAGTATAGACAATATCAAAAAGAAAATGATCGTAGTTCATCAACGAAGACGACGACGACGACGAAGAATCTAGTCTCAGTAGCCAGTTGGGAGTGTTTTGAATGACAATAATAATAGAAAAGCCAACGAGTAAAAAGCTTTTGTAGTTCATACCAAACATCTACAAACAGAAGAAAAGTCACAGTAGAGCAGATTTTTCGGCCAGAGACATTTTATGACACTGAGCTTTTGTACGTTTTCAGAAACGCCTGTTGATGAAATATTACAGTTTTCGGTTCAAAATATAAGACGATAGCTTTGGAAAAAGTCAGGGTGAAGAGGATTGTTTTGTACTTGAGATTCGTATCAAAATTATAATAAAATCTCGATAAGAAACTTAACTTCTTCTATCATACATTTTTATTTTATTACCAGAATCATTGTCTTCTCATAGAGATCTATTATAGTCTTTTCACATGGATTTATATTCGTTTCATCTGGATTGACATATACTTGTAGCATTTCCATTTTTATTTCTCATTCGTTTTCTTATTACTCCATTTTTATCTATACAGACGGATGCAAGATATTTATTTGTTCAGCAGAAATAGTCTCCTGAGAAGCGAAGGTACGGCTGTCTTTCAACACACTAATGTCCAAGCATTCTATCAAGCCCACAAGGATTCGAACAAACAACCTATCGGACAAAGAGCAAACACTGATTCTATATTTAAATCAAAACCATGAGAAGTGAAAATCTCAAAGAATTCTGATGTAATATCTCATCAGCTATGGTATGTAAATCATGATCGCCCGGTACATAGACATTGTGCTCAATCGAAGGTCACACATTTTGTTCAACTTAAGATTGACGATAGAGATAAGTATGTTGTGAATTTTGATCCAGGAATTATTTCACAGATTAAGCTGAGTTTTTTTTCTAAATGTAAATACGTATGAGTTATACTCGGAATAAAATGTTTACTTGAATTGGTTGAGCCCTATGTATTGTATGAGTGTCGTTTTTAGGAGGAAAATTCGCGATTTTGAACACTTTCGAGGCTTCATATCCAGTAACTGTCAAATGTTAGAGGTCTGAAATTTTCAGAATAGGTAGAATTCATAGAGATCAATTGCCAATAAAAATTCGAGCTCGATTGAATATTTTTTTCCCACTGAAGGACTTCGATAAGGTTTTGCGTGTGTGGATGTTGACCGATGGCGACACTTATACTCACACCCACACTCCCATACCCTAAAAGGTTGGCCAACGAAGCTCCTTTGGGGCTAAACTGTGGAACTCACACGTGTTCATTAGATTCATTATACTAATACAAAATACATTAATTGAAAAATGTCTAGCAGACTACAGATGTTCTCCAAGAATAATCGGTTACCAGAACAATCACCTGTCTCATTTGTTGCTGCATTTCGAACTGAAATTTTTTTCTTTTTTTTTACTGACGCTCTATTTTTTGTTTGCATTAGTTCTAGCCGCTCGTTATTTATTTTTTTCATATTTCATTTTTCTTAATTTAATATCATCATTAGTCTAACCATCGATTTAACTGACAATAAATCTCAATACACAATGCTATATATATTTAGATAAGCTCAGTAACACTGACATCGATTATTTTCTTCAAGTTATAACTTGATTAGTTCCCGATTTTTATATTGATCGTATGACGACTGTGGCAAATTCATGCATCACCAGTCATCTTCCTTGACATCTTAAATATAAGTTTTTATCTACACAAAACTAAAAAACCACACTATCTAGTACATTTACAAACGTATTCCATTCCTTCATGTTGCACTGAAGACTTTGAAATATTCTATAACTTTCTAGAACAGTTTAAATTATGTCGTTAATTCTGTTCGGTGTCTTTTTCCTTTTCTGAGGAACTCTGGGAAAGTAGTCTGGCACAGCTGTCCTTGGTTCTTATGAAAGCGTACTCAATGACCTTTGGCCTCAGCTGTTAAGGTGTGTAGGGAGGGGAGAATCTGAAAGTCTCAACTGAAGGACTTACACTTACTATTTTCTTCAAAAATAAATGTGAGTTCCATACAAGAGCTGTAAAGAATGTGCACACTCATTGATGAGAAGAAAAAGTGATATTCTAGCTTTTTCTTTCTATGAGATTCCTCATCAGACACCTAAAGCATATCATTGCAGCAATCTTCATGAATGGAATCGATACATTATTACTGGCTCTTGAACAGAAAGTCGTCGATTTTCAGGAACTCAAATAATCTAATTTCGAATTTCAGTATCAATGCAAAGTGCATTTGAAAGAACGGCTTCAGAAACCTGTTCTACGGTATTGTTAGGTTAATGTGATATTTCAGAAGGAAATCATGAGATATTCAATTCTGTGATTGATCGTCTGCTGTATTACTACTAGTGTTTTCTTCTACTTTTTGTGGCTATAGTACTTAAAGTTTCTATGATGTAAAAACAGGCTTCTAAGGACGTTCTTTCAGATACACTATGTGTCCATGCTAAAATCTGAAATTGAATTTTTTGCGCTCCTGAAAACCCAAGATTTTGAGGTGAAAAACCCGTAACAATGCATCGATTGCTTTGACGAAGACTGTTGCAATAATGTACTTTCGGCGACTGATTGGGAAAAGTGTTGGAATAAAACTTTTTCTCCTTAACAATGCGGTTGTACATAGTTTCAGGCTCTTTTTTTGGGTGCCTTGAATATTTGAGAGACTCTTTTGAGAACATTGATCCTAAATGATAATCTTTGTGCTCTCCATCCATAGTTACCTAGATAGAATGTTCAAGGCAGTATTTACTCAATGATTGAGGTTTCAAATGTAGGATTATCTACCCGGTAAACGCATCTTTTTTTGAGCTCCGAAAGACGATCCCTTTTCTGGATGATTCCTTGATATTCTAAACGGATTTTTGTGTCACATTCTGGACTGCACATTGAACTTTCAACTTATGAATGACAACTATTTGACCAGCTCATAGATGAATTCGCCTGAAAGCTAAGATTTCCGTCAACAAACTCAACCTTAATGAAGTTCTCCAGCACAAATACAACACTCAATCGAGTTCGAATTTTTACTGAGAATAGATCCCTACGAATTCTACTCACTCTGAAAATTTTACACTCCTAGCACTTAGCTGTTTTGAGATTGAAAGTGTTCAAAATCGTGATATTTTCTCCTAAAAGCCAAATCTATAGTATACAAAGGGCTCTACTGATTTAGGTAAACATTTTAAAGTGGTTTGCTTCAATATACACAAAACAGTTGTTTCTATCATATATCTTAAAGTGAATAAAATCTGAGACCTTTGATTGTACACAATCGGTTGTCACTTACATGCACTGATGCTTATAGAGGCTTTTCCCATTAGTGATGAACAAGAGTTTGCATCGGCAATGTTTCATTCAATGGACGAATACACACGATAGATATATATATCCTCATTATCAAACATAAAAATATCTATAATACCCAATATAAATAAGTAAAAGTCTAAAGGACATCGAGATTCTTATACATACTCCTAATAACTTTTTTGCTTTTGGATAAGCATTTTAAAAGTTTCGTAAAAATCCATGTTTTTTTATTGGGAAAAAAATGTCAAGAGTGTCTATTGTTAGGAAAGCAGACGGATACAATAGACTTTACTCATCATGAAAGCATATTTTCGGGTCAAATATTATACATATCAAAATAGATTTTAGCAACCAAGAAAACTTCTATTGAAAAATTTATGGCAGACGTCTTCCATGATTTTTTTATCATTCAAAGCATTGTTGGATCACTTCTGATTTTTGACGTATTATTTGAAAAGAAATCAATACCTTGTTTTCGAATATAGTCATACATTTCATCAAAGATGTTGCGCTATTGATCAAATGAGTTTTTCAGAAGAAATTCAATGTTTTTGAATTTTTTCATCTTCAAATTTCAACAGAAGCACTAAACGATGTCGTAGTTCTGCATGAACATATAAGAAGTTCTATATCTTCGTTTGAAAGAAAAACATCAAATATTTTATACAATAGAAAATATTTCAAATCCATGGTTGTATTACTAAATCACTGAGAAATTTTATCTTAAGAATGAAACAATCATCATTCAATGACGCATTTTACTTACCATTGTTTTCTTACTTAAAAAAATTTTCTATACTATTATGATGGAAGCATATACATTTCTTTTTTTTTCAAATATTAATCCTTTGAAGGACATCAATTTGTGTTTGATGCCCTAATCAACAAAGGATTCAAGTACTCAAGGCTAGAGAAATAAAAAACAATCGTCCTTGTATCTCGAATAGATCAAAACAAAGTGAAAGATTACTGAAGTCGCTATGACCGATATGTACGTGTGTGTGCACGAATCTTTCCTTTATACAAGCGCGCATCTATACTCATACCTATGCGAAGAGACACACCCACACCCTCACTATCCATTACAGTATCAGCATCCGAAAACTTGAAAGTAGATAAATATTCGTATGCATTTTGATTTTCAATAGTTAGTATTTGTTTCCTGCTTTGAGACTTTAAATTCAACAGAGAATATATATAAAATTGTTCAAGTTTCACCAGATGATTTTGAATTATTGATAAAAAATAAGTACGTAGAAACCTGTTAGAGATAAAATTTTAAAAATTATCAAGCAAAATTTCAACTTGTAATTCAAACAATATTTTTTACTACCTAATCTGTCCTACTCTGATTACAAAGAAAATAAAAAATATTTTTCTTATTACTGCAATGTTTTTTTAGAAAGAATACACTCAAATAAATCCAACTATGACAAATGTAGACAGCAATATTCATTCGTTATCTATGATTCTTATGAATATGAAATTGATCAAAACAATCTTATCGTACGATTTTTCTTTGATACGAGACTGAAAATTGGACAGCATTCATCGTATTATTTTGAACAATTATCCTAATCACAATATCATAACTTAATTTTTCATATTGGAAAGAAAATTGTTCCTTCAAAGTTTATATACAAGAGAATTCGACGGTTCCAAAAATTACCCACTTTCAGCTTCGGTTTCGATTCGG